AAATAGAGCCAAGTGTACCGAATGTATCTTTATCTTACTTAGAATATCACAATCGTTTGTAGGTCGTTTGTAGGTCTATGATAGACAAAAATTAACGTTTGATAGATCTCCCTATTTCTAAAATAAGAAAATTAAAAAAGCTCAACATTTTTACGGAAGTTAGCCCCTGTTTTTTTTTTTTGATGATAGAATGTTGAATTGCCGACTAAGTGATGCAGAATCGTTTGTAGGTGATTGACAGATGACATTCGGTCTCCTTTAATGCGCAATATATATGTAAATTATTGACGTGAAACGGTTTTGGAGAAATATGTTGTACCTAAATAGAGCCAAGTGTACCGAATGTATCTTTATCTTACTTTGAATACTGCTAGAATATCACAATCGTTTGTAGACTATTTGTCCCGGTGTCCCGGTCCAACCTTAAAATGCCCCGGGGTTCGTTTAAGTGTCCCGGTTTTCGATTTGATTGCACAAATTTTGCATAAAAATGACTACACAGAGAGCAAAAACGCGTTGTAATATTAAGAAAAATTTTATGAATTTACTGGGGGAAATAACGCATAGTAAACATGAATATTTTTTATTTGATTATCGTTTTGAAATGTTCGTACTTAAAAACAATACTTTCATACCACGCACACGTGGTGTTGAATCAAACTGAACATTTGAATGCACATTTACATGTCTGCCTGTAGCTGAGTGCACGAAGATGCTTGCCACAATTTGCTAATTTCCTGAGCGTCAGGGTTCAAATTCCATTACACACAGCATGGAATTTAAGTATTTTTTTTACTTAATTATGAAAAAGCATCCGTTAAGTGCAAAGCGCATTATTTTAATGTTTGCGTATTTCAATTGAATATTTCTAACTAAATACTAAAATTTGTATACTTAAATTTATTACGAGTTGGGTTGCTGCTCTTTCATATGCGAATTTTTTTTTAAATTTAGCACGTTTTGCACAAGCAATAGATGATGATTAATATAAGTATGTACCTAAATACATTAAAATAACATGCACAGGGTTTTACAATTATATTAAGCAAAAGCCAGAAGTTTTGAAACAAGCTCACAGCAACGAAACAAATGACTGATATTTCAATGTTACCTTGTATTTAATTTTTTTTCTTTCGTGAAACCTAGATTACTTATAAGTACCGTGCCGTACAAAATTATTGGCTCGGAGACTCTTTCATCTGATCACAATTTCTAATCAGATCTTTAAGAAAAATTTTGAAAATGTAGCTTTTGAGCCAATTAGTAAAGTGCAAGTCTGAAGTTAAAATTTCGTTGATTTTTTGCAATTATTTATTTTTTGCTGACAGTGTCTTCCACATCCAAAAAAATTGTCGAACATAGTTTGTATGGAAGAAACTCTCAGTAAAAACAATACCAAAAATCAACTAAAATTTTTATAACTTATTTTTATATTTCTGAATCGAAAGTTGCGAATTTGTATGCAAAATTATTGCATTTTCCCGAGTTTTGCACAAAGTTTAGAAATTTTATTTTTATGTTTTCTGATGTATTTAGTATATACTGTATTTTTATAAGGAACAAAAAAGGTACATGCATTATGGAAAATTCTCTGTACTTTAGTTGTGATAAATGGTTTTGTTTTGCTGGTGTACGTTGTAATGATCTCATGATCTCATGTTTTTATGTTTTTTTTTGTCAAAATAAGTGTCCCGGTTTGGCAACAGAGATATCTGGCAGCCCTAACTATTGCCCATCGGTCAATGCCCAGTGCGAGTTCCCACCTTAGTTTGTATGTCTTCCCTTTTCAAACAAAGTACAGACATCTCACGTTCAACCTGCGATTAAATAATAATAATAATAATAATAATAATAATAATAATAATAATAATAATAAT